CACGCCGGAAAACCGTCCGACTTCCGCCGTCGTCGTCCTCCGCTCCACCATAGCCATCTGACGTCAGCGATGGCTACATCACCCGGCGCCTTCCCCGGCCATTCAAACGGCACCATCGGCCAGCTCTCCGCCGTCTGATCCTCCCATGGTCCCGTCAATGAAGGACACAGCAGTCAGCGTCACCGGCGGCATCCCGAGGCTTCTCTCTCCTTGGAAAGGCCCGGTCGACATGGAGTTGCGATTACGGGTTTAAGATCGCCGAATGACAAAAATAACGCGCCGACGACCATCCCAGTCATCCCCCGCCGCCGTAGTCGCCCGTCAAGGCGCCGACTTTCGTCGTCGTCTTCCTCCACTGTCTTCAGATGCCGTCCTCCGTCGATATCAGGATGGAACCGATGTCGAAAATAAAAAATAATCACCCATAAAATCCAGAACATAGAAAGTGCACTAGTTGGGACATTTTTTTGTAAATTAGAAAGATTGAAGGGCTTGTTTGTAATATGGAAAATTTTAATATTAAATATTACAATTTATTAAGAGTAATAGGTCGGTTGGTAAGTTGTGGTGGTTGATGATTCCAATACAGAAAAATTAAATTTTCATGCACGAGTCACTTAATGTAATGGACTAATGGGTTGGTAAATTGATGAGTTGGTGGTTGGTGATATGGGCTAATATAATAATTTTAATTTAAAATATCACAATTAAATGCTATTTATATTATAATCGTAATATTGTATATATCTATTATTTTTTTTTCAAAAAAAATATAAAATATTAAATAAAAAAATATAAATACATTACTACCAAAGATAATATAAAATATTTAATGAAATACTAAAAATAATAAATGTATATTATATAATAAATTATAAATTATTTTATTTATTTCGATTATTTTGGTTAACTGATCAAATAAACATATTATACTAATCATGTTAAAAATAATATATAAAAAAATATTTAAATTATATATTAATTGATGTACAGTTATATATATTAAAACTAGTTCTTAAATACACCTATAAAGAATTATCTATAAAGACACAAATTATCGCACTTTATATAGCTAAATTAGCGCACTTTATATAACTGACTGATGCACTTTATAAAACAACACATTGCACCTTATAAAACAATATTTTGCACTTATAATCACAACAACTCCCACTAAAATATTACGCAATATAAATCTATAAAACGGTTCTACATAATACTTTAGTATCCATATCTATCACATCATATATCCACAAAAGGAAAACAATAAAAAGTCATGTTAACATATCAACTTTCAGTATTGCACTTAATGTATCAACACGTTGCACTTTATGAATCATTACATTGTACTTTATAAAACAACATGTTGCACTTTGTAAAACAATACATTACACCTACCAAAATTACAACAAGAATTACAGTAATTATGCTTATCGATCGGATTTTTTTTTAATATTAAAAAAATATCTTTATAGAATTGAACTACCATTATTATGTAGATATATTTTTTAGATTTATATGACGTGGTATTTTAGCGGGAATTATCAATGTTTAATTGCGGATAGACATGATACAGTGCACCGTGATGATTGTTAAAGTGCGACGCGGTGTTTATAAAATGCAACGTGACGCTGTATAAAGTAAAACTACTGTAAGTTTGGTATGGTAGCATGCTTGCGTGTTCTTTTTTTTTTTT